ATGAGGTTATATATAGGCAGAATGAACTTAGAAGAAATCAGCAGCATATTTAGCAGTAACCAAATTAAGCTCCTACCACACAAGCTAACAAAGCCATTATTAATCATGCATGATGCATGTGACTTTGTCCCAAGGTGGATTTATATACCAGATAGCATGCGACATTCAGGGAATTGCAACGGCTCAAAGAGCCTCTGATCAAACCCCAAAAGACAGGAAAATACTTTATGCAAGTTAGTGGAGACCAAGGTATATGCATTTTCTATTTTGCTGATTTCAAAATACTGCCCCAAAATAAAAACTGACATTCCAAGTGAGAAACTGTTATAAAGGAGAAGGAAAAAAAGTCCTAAAAGGAAAAAATTAAAATTTGTGACTCGACAGAAGAAATGGCCGCCTTAGAAAATCAGCTGAAAGGCCCGACTGTGCGGGTAACTTGTTTCCCCTGCCGACTGTAAATATTTAGAGGAAAAAATCTCATCTGGACGCAAAATGGCTAACTCCCCAGAAAGTAACAAAGCAATTAATTAGGGAACATATTTAGGTATGTAGAATTATGGACTTTATCTACATCAGATCACAAAGCAGACCAGAGCTGTAGTCCATCTGCCTTCTCTCCCATACTGGCGAGGTGCCAGGCGCTTCAGCTGGAAGCACTGGAATTGCTGGATTGCACAAATATACAGCAATCCACTAAGGGTAAGCTGCCGCTTGCTTCTGACAGTGCACAATCAATCAATTCCTGTTTATCAGAATATATTGTATCTTTTGTTACTTAGCTATCTATCTTGGATATAAATAAGTGTTCAGCCTTTTCTGAAAGCTACTGAACTCCTGGATTTAATGGTTCAGGTTTGAATATCAGGATTAATGCTGCCACCCTTTCTGCTAACTGAAAAACAAAATCTCACTAAAGAACGTGGATGTTTCACATTTTCTTTGCCATCGACTTCACAAAAGAGTTGGCCTCATTCTTCTTCTGTCTTGAAGAGATCTCTCTTGCTCAGGGAATCAATTTTCTACTCAAGTGCACTTTCTTTCCATATACTTCTCCCTCCCTCCATCTTCCATAATGACAGCCTTTCACTGTGAAAAAAAATTAAGTTTTGGGAATATTTAACCACCATGGCTGCACCAGTGCAGAAAAAAGGGTGAAAAAAATTGCCTATTCCTTTTTCAGACTCTCAACGCATTCCTTTTAGCTACGCCTTTTCCAAGCTGGTGCAGAAGAAATGAAATATGTCGGTACTGAGCCTGTGGTCCTCTCCGAGGTGCTGTGCTTCTTCTTAAAACCCCACAACCAGTTAAGCTTTCAACAAAGCTGCTGGCCATCTGCCAGGTGTCGCTCTCTATCTGTAGGCACACACCACACGCCTGTGGCAATGCAACCTCCTCTGCCAGCCTGCCACATAGGGGGCTGGAGGTTTTAATTAGCCTGCACCACGCAAGAAGGATGAAACTGGTGTCTTATTGGTGAGCTCTGAGCTATCTTCCTGACAAAGCTTGACTTTTTATTATTATTATTATTATTATTATTA